CTTGAGAAGTCGTTCATAGTAAAACGCCTCCCTGATCTTGTTCTTTGGTTTTAGTGTACCAGATAACCACAGTAGGCGAAGTTTTGGACGATCTGAGGTAACGCTCTCTCACTATGTAGCCACCACGTCTTTAAAGTAAAGCACCATCGTGACAGAATAGTTTTTTTGTATATCAGCATATCAACTAACCCTCTGAGTTCCAAACGGACTCGCGATGTTGACGTCCGGCAGTATACTATATATCTTCATAGTAAAACGTTGTGACAAATGCGTGCTTTTTTCATAGTGTATCACATAACCTCCCTACACGAAGTTTTAGAGGAATTCACGATGTCGACTTTCTGTTGTATGCCTACCGTCTTCTATGTTCTTGACTCTGCCAGAATGAAAGCAAGTGAGCGGTGATCATATACCCTTCCGGTATATAAGGCCGCTAGTTTAACAAGCTACTACACTTTCCTTATGTTAGTATCAAAAATTGTCATGAGAACAAGTTACCAATAGTAGTATTTCTTGACCAACCTAATAAATTCTGATAAACCTAAGATTTTATTTCACTCAGTTAATTGTTCTCAAAAATAATTGAAGATAAGAAACCAAAAAAAACATACAATAACTTCCAGATTGGGAGTCCACGATTATGTAGACATATCCGTCACTGAGCAAATTATTGTCGTAGGCTATCAGCATTGCCCTGCGAACACTGTCTGAGTCTGTTAAGCACAGAACCACTACTGTAAGTAATAAAAAATGAGGGTCAATTAATGTACGTCAAAATTTACTATGATAGGATACCAACTTCTCGCTACCTCCGACACGCGATTAAGTGCATTACCTAGATTGCTTGTTTCCTCGTTGGGAAGAGAGAAAGTTCTAGAGACGTAAACATTCGTTAGTCCACTTTGTAAGCCCTGCAAATATGTTATCAACTCGATATAAGGGTAATGCAAGTGGCAGTTCGCCCACTAATTGAAACGTCTTGTTGTTCAGCAATTGTAGTCATTAATGGTAAAGATAAAGCGAGGATCAATTTAAAACATAAAACAGCCGCTTGGATTAATCCAAGAGTGTAAGTGTAATTTTGTCTTATTTGAAAGACTAAGCAAAACTTGATTAATTACTATATAGATGTGACAATCTGCACAATCTTGAGTTTGAGTTAACTGTGCTTTCATAGCTTCTGATAATTTTCCTGGAATACTACATATCAGGACGAAGTTGTCCAAAAAAGACTCGAACTCAGGCATAGGATGTGAACTGTTATAATTTATCAGTCACGACGTGAAGGAAAAAAGCTGCGATTCCCTTTTTTGCAGCCTGATTCAAGAAGAAAAAACAGCATTGCAACAAAATGTGTTAGGTTGCCGGGAAAAAGCTTAATAAATTACATCAAATCGTTAGCTAGAAAATATGTATAAAGATGAAATATAAATAGAAGAAATATGTATATGACATTTACGAGGATACCATCACTTGCACTGTACTGGTGTAGCTACAGAGCATTAAAAAATAATTTTGTTCTCAAAACTCAGTCTCTTATGCCTGTTATCAATCCTCTGGTATTCAAAGCATAAAGGTTGCGTAGGAGGTTTGAAGCTCAACATCAGTTGAATGTGTTAGGCGTAGGTGGTCACTGAGTCAGTGCCTGCAAAACTGCTGTAAGTAGCTTTCCGCTCAGGATATTAAAAAATGGTCAGTCATTTGGCGCGGGTTCGCTAGTTCATAAAGCGACCGTGAGGCCAGAGTGCAGGGAAGGAATCTGATGCGAGCGGCTACGTCGCTCACCAACTTTTT